TAAAAGAAAAATCTTAACATTGGCCTTTGGTGATGAGGAGCCATCAATGGTCTTACTTGTAACTATATTCTTATTGTAACAAATGCTACAGTTAAACATTACAAGAACTATGTTACTTTTTCATGGCCAAGAAAGAGCTTTAAATGATGAACCTTTTTGATGTATTAACTTGATTGATTTTCCCCATGTGTAAAATGTTTTATGCTAATAATGACAGATAATAAGAAAAACCAGCTTTCAGATATATCTGAAAGTTATGACAGGAAGTTAACATTTTCAGTATAAGAAAATCTTAAAAGATACTTAAGGCTAACTAAAGGCTACTTTATTGCAGTTCTGTCATAAGCCAATTTTGCATGCTTGGAAAAATTTGCAGGACCATCAAAATGAAACTTAAGTGATTTTTAAGTACAAATATTACACACCTCAGGGCAGCATGCATAATAATTATTTTTTTTAAAGAATGTTTTGAGGGAAAAAAACATAAGTGATTTTTAAAATGTTTATTTGCACTGAAAACTAAAAGTAAATAGCTCCATTTGCACGTGCAGATCAGCTTCCCTATTGCCTCCTTTTTTCTTTTCCTCTACAGGAAGGTTAGTCATGATGGCTTGTGTTATTTTTACCATTAAAATAAACAGAATTGATAACAACCACAAACCTCAAACCACTGTAATCTCTCACAAAACCCCTCCTGTCATCACCAATTTCTGGCAAAGACTGATTCAGGTGCCAGCCTGTGTTTTAATGTCATGTGATGAATGTTAGACATTAAGAAAGTCTGTGAGTGAAGAAAAAGTGCATTCTGAGCACCGCAGGTTGGAGGTCTTCAGTAAACCATTCTGACCCTCGGTGGCTGTGCTGCGCGGTGTGTTTATATGCGTTTCGCCAAAGAGAGTTCGGAGCTAATTTATGTAGCATTCGAATACAAAGAGTCCTCAGCGCTACAGAACTAGAGGGCTAGTCATTGTGTATCAGTTTGATGAGTGTGTGTTTATACATGCTGCACATGTGCTGGTGAGGACTTCTGAACCGGTACAAGAGAGCAGCAGCTCCATTTCTTTCAAAATAAGAATCATAACATTTTTTAATCAGGTTACTTAAAATGTGTTGGGGTCAAAAGTGTCGGTCAGAGCCATAATGTTTCTTCAAACTGTGACATTAAGGTTACTAAAGAAGTTGCCAACTTGGTTAATATGTTCCGCCATTTAGAGTTATGTATCAGGTTTAAAACAATTAAAGCTCAATGAACAACATCTGTGACTCACTTATAAACTTATGGCAGGGAATGGGGTCGATTTTTGTAGAGCAGAAATGTGTAGCTTATAATTTTATAAAAGCACTACCATTAATTATCCGGTTAAAAAGTGTGTATTATTTGAGCTGTAAAACTGTTCTTGTAATTTGTATATATGGGGGTTTAGATGTTGGCAATGCAAAGAAGTATTGGCAAGTACTTTTAAAAGGTATAGTATCCATACGTCCCATTCACTCACTCATGAAAAATAATTACACGCAGCGTACTTTTAAAAATAAAAGATTAAATATTACAGAAAAAAATTAACTTTAAAAGAACTTGCATTTGTTAATTAAATGAAAATGTATTAGCTTAAATTTATATGAATATAGAGTATTCACTGTACAAAAATATATGATCAATAAGTTATAACAACACGTTTTTACATTGCTTTAACTCATTTAAATAAGTTACACTTTTTTAACTTTTTTTTTGGTATACAAGATTTAAATAAATAAGTCCAAGTTGATTGTACTTGTGGGAAAGTGGGACTTTTGTACATCTTTAAATGTAATTTCCGAATGAACTTCTATGGTCTTTAAAACATGGTGAGCATATTAAATATACATTAAATACGCCTTAATGTAACTTCTATTGTGCCTTGTTTATCATGCATTAAAATATATTTGTAATAACACATCTGTATAATGAAGGTGCAATTTAGTACATTTTATGTATAATATTGAATAACACACAACAGTTAAACGGCACACTATGCAGGAATTCTGTTTTTGTCAAAAAGAGTACTTGTATTTAACGTTACTGTCGTAACTACCCAGTAGCACTCACGGCCTGATACCCCTTTGAAACTGTTATATTAAGGAAAAAATCTTGCATAGTGTGCCTTTAAATAAGAGATCTAGGGGGTGTTTATGGGTGGGCCTCACGCGGTCAGATTATCTTCTCCGTTTCCTAGTCTCTTCCGACCGCATTTTCTTAGTTTTTTCCATCGTCGAGTATCACGTCTGAAGTGTCTTAATGCTTCATACTGTATGTTGTTGTTGATGTGTGTGACGACGTCGTTGTCGTAAAGCATGCAGTGATTAGCGCGAGATTTGTCAGGGGCGCTCCTCGCAAACTTGCATTGCTGGTTTTTCATTCCAATAATATAATACACAAGTAAAGATATACATTATGCAATGAAAAAATATACTTTTAAGGTTTGGAGTACACTACAAGTGCACATTCAATACAATTAAGCGCACTTCCTTTCACATGGGCTTTACTGTAACACAGATTTCCATTTTTTTTTAAAGATTATGATAATTATAAATAAAAATAATACAATTAGATTCAATTATTACATTTAAATATTAAATCAACCTTCATGGTAATCAACATTATGCCACAAATGCTGTTGATCCGAACCAGGAAAACCTGGTAATTGACTTCAAACTAAAACAAATGATCAAACACAAAGAACAAACAACAAAATGTGTTTACAGCAATTGATGTAAAGAAGAGATTTGGTTAATCTTATCTTGACACTACAAACTACATTAAATTTTCATGTAATATTATGTAGATGCTGGCGTTCATACACGGTGCAATCCTGACACTTAAGACCTTCTCCTGTCCTTGTATGACAGACTTCTCACTGAAAGCAAAGTTAGGTGACATCTGGGCAACATCATGTGTGTGAGAGCAGCCCCAGACGCAAACAATGGGTGCGGCCTCAATCTGTGAGCTGAATCCCTCAGCTGCAAAACATATACAGCGAAACATATACAGACAGTATGTGCGGCTGTATCGCTTTATTGTTTTAAGTTCTGGTTCCGGCCTGTTTGTTTGCTTGAAAGTTTAGTCTACGCCTTGCTGCCATGTGCAGAGCTGAACTAGTGACAATGAATGCCTCTATTTACTCCCCAGAAGTGTGGAGGAAATGTTAGTGCAGTTTTGCCCTCTAGTGGTGACTGTGAATAAAGCACATCTTTCTTTCTATCCATCCATCCATCCATCCATCCATCCATCCATCCATCCATCCATCTATCTATCTATCTGTTTGTTTATCTGTCTATCTGTCCATCCTTCTATCCATCTATCTATATATCTGTCTGTCTGTATGTCTGTCACACGCACACAAAGGCACACACACATATATTTACACTGCATGTTTCTTGAGTAGAAACTCCTCATATAAGAATGATTTCTGAAAGATCACGTGACACTTATGTAATGATGCTGATACTGGTTAAGAATAAAACTTTTTTTCAATGCAAACAGCCTGTTTCGGGTTTTTTTTTTTTTTTTTTACACAAGTACAGTACATGCACACAGTCACACAAATCACACACAAAGTGTGATCAGCTGAAAGCAATGGTGTGCAGATTGCAGACCATCTGCTCACTATTCTCCTGATTATCAAAGTTGAGGGTTGCATTTTCAGTTCATGCTTATGATTTGATTGTGACCATTGCACATTATTAAAAATATCCCAGCATCAAACCTTTATGAATCCTGCATAGATGTTGTGCGGTGCATTTTGATCATTATTACTATAATTACACAATAACCATTACAATTTCACACGCTAGGAAGCCTAGAGATTATGCCAGCACAGATTTGGCATTACGCCTGTTCTTTGGCGTTACCTTATATAAATAGAGTGGCAGTGTTTGGAAACAGGCTTGTCTCTCTGTGTTCAATGCGTGACTGTTTTACAGTACAATAGATTGTGCTGGGATTCTCTCTCTCTCTCTTTTTCAAAAATATTGACTTTAAATGAACCACAAAACATTTTGTGTGGAAGTTTATTATTTGTGGTGTAAATATGGAAGAGGCTGATGTTTGCAAGAGCTAGAACTAAATTGCTTTGGACCAATTTAGTTGGATTGTACTGAATTTAACATTATGTATTGTTTTTGACGCAATAATAAGGTATGTTGGTTATTGAGTTCTCCTTTTAATGAATTCCTTGTTTTGCTCTATTAAAGCTTCCATAAGTGGCGATTTTAATGTCAATTCAGAAAGCTCAGCATGATGGATGGTTTCTAATGAAACACTTTCTAGTGTGTGGTTCAGATGGGGCAGAGGTCTCATTATGAAGTGTAAAATTTCACACTTTTAATGGAATGACACTTTAGGTGGTTAAACATTGCAGGCAGCTGAAGTGACTCATGGCCCGGGTGAACATATGGGTAAATAGAGCTTAACCCTGACCTTTTTGTGTGGTTTCCGAAGTATTTTCCTCATTTATTTTGTTCTTTGCAAAAATAAAAAAAAAAGACAAGAAATACATCAGCCCCAAGAATCACAATAAGTACAATATGGGGGGGGGACAGTTAAAAAGGTACAAGGCTTTTTTTTTTTTCATTTAAAATTAGCGCATTGCAAATAAAATCTAATTATAAATTGATTATAAATATAACAACAATATATTTTAAGTTCGTTGTAAAATCAATATATTCGTTTTTAAGAGTCTGGACTCGAGGCTGTCATTTACAATGCTTTGTGGGGTACTGTAGATCTTTATTAGGATTTTTTCTTATTGTTTTAATGTTTTATTTTTTTTTTTTTTAGTAATGTATATCATCAGCTAACAACCTCACAGCTTTTATTGTTAAAAATAGATTTCTCTGTTGCACACTGTTCATGCAGCCACATCATTTCTGATGTGAATACTGAGAGAAAATTATATCAGACCACTGAACGCATATACTTGGATGTTAACGAGCCACGCTCTGTGTTTGTGTGTGTTTTACAGAATAAAAGCAGACACACAGGCCAGTCCTGATGGCAGGCGCTTGGGGGTCAGCCTGCACTGGACTCTGGCTCTAGCAGCCCATTGGGCCCTCACTTCAACTCTGAACATTTCACAGGTCAGTGAGCACACACACACACACACTATTGTTTCACAATATTAGTGATGGCATTGGATTGAATTCCATCGATTTTATCTCAGCTTAATGATATTTTCTAATCCCCTAACCAAATACCAATCAAAGAAATATGCGCAAAACACTACATTTGAATAAAACCATAATTTTGATGATTTATATGCTTTTTAACTAGTGGGGACCAGTAAAATCTCCTCACTAGCCAAGTCGTAATATTTCACTACACAAGTTTTACACATTTGGCCATTAAAAGTAGTTAAACAAGTACACACTCTCTCTCACACACACACACAGAGAGAGAGAGAGAGAGAGAGAGAGAGAGAGAGAGAGAGACTGGAATGCATAGTGTTAAAAAACAATTATAATTTTATTAAAAGACATGGTAATACTTTATTTTAAGGTGACGAAGTAACACATTACTACATGTAGTTCCTATTATTATAATAGTATTATGCATAATTATAAGTAACTAAACCCCAGACTGATGTCATGAAATGGCGTATGTATGACACGCCAATTCGTGTTTCCATTTTTGGCGTGTTATCAACACGTATAATCGCTTTTCAGCGTGTTTATGAACGCTGTTGACTTTACTTTACCGTTACATTACTGTATATATAAATATAGGACCTACCCCAACCCCGTCCCTAAACCTACCCGTCACTGGGGTTAATAGCATTTACAAGTCTTCTCCTACCATCCAAGAAAAAAAAATATATCGATGTAGTTCAACATTTTGCTTCTTTTCGCTCGGACATTTAACGTCGTGTACACACTGTACACGCAGAATCACTCGGACATTTAACGGCGTAGACATACACGCATACACATGGATAGCTCAAAATGCGTATAGGTAACACGCCACTTGACTTGAAAGTGGCCTGTATGTTTACGCAAAAGTGATGTCATGTTGCTAACCCCAAAACAAAACCCTTACCAAAACTTTTAGCAAGTATGTGTAGTTTATTAATACTACTCTGTACTTATTTGAGTAAGTACAATGCAACTACGTCCCCTTAAAATAAAGTGTAACCAAAGACATTAACACTATTATTAAGCGAAGCGGCATTGACCAAAGTAAAAGTAAAGACATTTAAATAGTTACAAAAAATGTTTTCTTTTGAAAAAATGCTATTCTTTAGAACAACAACATAATAAACTAGATCTAGATCATCATATTGTATCATGCATAGCTCAGTAATATCTTCAATATGAATAGATCTTTTTTCCTGCTGCCCTTTTAACCAGTCCGCAAACCAGGCCACCTTACAGACAGAAAGTGTTTCTAATAACTTGAGAAATGAATATGAACACTTCCATGCTAATGATTGTTTTTGTCTCTTTGCCAGCAGGACGAGTGCCCATGAGGTCGTTGACGCTGGCCCTGCTCGTCCTGATTAGCATCCAGGCTGCACTCATCATGGGAGGCCACACCCAGGCGCAGGGGCCAGCCAATCAGCACGCAGCAGCACGACACTCCCCTAGGCCTCACGGCCAATCCAAGCAGGACTCGCATTATGAAGACCAAATCCCCACCGTGGACCCCAAACTCTTCAACAAGCGACGCTACCGCTCACCACGCGTGCTGTTCAGCGAGGTGGCCCCTACGGAAAATGAAACTGGAGGCCCCAAACGTCCACGTGTCCGGCGGAAGGCTAACGACTTCTTGCATCGTGGCGAGTACTCTGTGTGCGACAGCGAAGAGCACTGGGTCGACAACCTGACCCGTGCCACAGACTTAGCGGGCAATGAAGTCACAGTGCTGCCACACGTTCGTATCAACAACATTGTGAAGAAGCAATTCTTCTATGAGACCACGTGCCGCGTGTCGAAACCCGTCGGCGCCCCCAAGCCAGGTCAAGGAGCCAGTGGCGTTAAAGCTGGAACCTCTAGCTGTCGTGGGATTGACAACCGGCACTGGAACTCGTATTGCACCAACACGCACACGTATGTGCGTGCGCTAACAACCTACAAAAACCAGATCGCCTGGAGGTTCATCCGAATCAACGCCGCTTGCGTGTGCGTGCTCAGCCGCAACTCATGGAGGCATTGAGTGATGCATTGACTGGTGACTCAGCCAACCCACTGCAGCCTCCTGTCGCAAGCCCCTCCCACCCATCAATGACAACAGCCGTTCTGGTGATTGAGACCCTGCCCCTTTTCTGTTCTGCTCATGACATCACAACCCACTCCCCTCCTACCCTACCTCACTCTGTAAATTATTGGTTGTTTAAGTTATGAGGACTGCATGACATATTTATATAGTTTATACGATCAGAATATAAATATAAATATATATATATATATATATATATGTGTATATACAGTATACATAAAGCAAGCTTTTGTTGTGTTGTTGATGCTCTTATTTATTAAACACCTCACTACAGTATGTCAATGCAAGACTGCTTCTGTCGTAATCTCATTCAATGATCATTTGAACTTATTTTCTGAACCAAAGCAGTTAGCCTAACTATTCTACGAGATGCAGATTTCTTATGAATTTGTATGAAAAAGCATGAAGGTCCATTTTGCGCAAATGTACAAATGAGATTATGCAAATTTATATGAATTGGCCACCAATTCATCAAAACGTAAAAATAGTTCAGAATTACTATGAGATTGTGATGGATATGGAAGCTTGTTTCCGTTATAGAATAAAACAGTTAAAAAGATAATTGTCACTTTCTAACAATCCAGACTTCTTTTTGTCAGAATTGCAAGATTATATTTCGCAATTCTGACTTTTTTTTTGCAGTTGAGTTCTCACAAATCTGAATTTAGAATTGCGAGACCATCAAGTCACTATTGCGAGAAAAAAAGTCTGAATTGGGAGATAAAAAGTCTATTTCAGTGGCGGAAGAAAGTTTCCATAGTTTGAAGAGTTGCATACAGAATCAATTTAACCTTCATTTTGTGAATAACAAGTCTTGAGTGTGCTATTTATTTTCAGTTTTTATAAATGTTATACTTTTTATTAAATCTATGATTAAAGATTAAAGTGTTGGAGTGTTCAAAAGTAGGATGCTTTATTATTAAAGTGTGTAAAAAGTTGATGCTTTTTCTGAAGGCAAATTAGATTGCATCAAATGCTACTTATAGCAGAATTTGTCTGTGTTTGAGCAACAAGAAAACCATCATATATTGTTCTTAAACTCAAATCATGCAGAGCAGGCCTACAGTCTTCCATTCTGCCTTATTGAGCGTGATTTCAAATATTCTCTGCATGCTACAGTGAAAAAGAAATGCACATAATTCTATTGAATGTGCACTTGCTGTGCATTTTAAACCTTAAAAGTATATATTTGGGGGGAAAACTGTATAAGATAATATAATATTACTAAAATAAATGAATATTACTAAAATACTATTAAAATAATATTACTAAAATAAAATTCATATAGTTTTTCAACACACTTAAGTACACTTTTAAGTAAGTTCACTTTGAAATAATGTCTAATTAAATGTTTTGCTATAAAGCACATTTTAAATTGTTTAGTCTTTACTCCTGTTTTAAAGAAGTGCACTTATTTTGATGTTGACTAATATACTAAAGCACATGTAAAGCACTAGCATTTAATTGTGTTATTAAATAATACATTTAAAGTAAGTATATTTAAAATGCACTAAATTGCACTTATCATTACTGTGCAATTACAAATATATTTTAACAGATGACATAAAAGTTTCATTAAAGATATAAAGATGTAGCCGAAGGGGGGCAAAAATAACTCTAAAGTTCAAATAATTGCAGTTGATATAAATTTAAATTCAATTAAAATGCAATTAAGCGTCTGAAAACATTACATATGTGTATGATAAAGGGTACTTCTCCCTCACAAGGGTTTAGTTTGAAGCAGGAAAACAATTCTACAAATCCTTGTATTTTTTTCCCCTCTACATCATACTCAAATGAATAGTGTTGAAGCTAAGCTGTTAAAGCTATCTTTTGTCATTCTCATTAATCTCATCTGTGTTTTTTTTGGCAAACACCAACAGTTCTTGAAGTATAACCTGAATTATGCTATCCATACGATACAAATGATTAGCTTAAAGGGATTAACTGCTAAAAGTAACCAGACAAACAACCTGGATCATGTGGATGGTTCAGTGCACAGCAAAAAAAAAAGTTGCTGCCTTAAATTTAAGTACAATCAACTCGGATGCTGAAGTCATGTCAACTTATTTTGATGAGTTAAAGCAATGTAAGAACATGTTGTCATAACTTATTATATAATGTTTCACATGCAAATCTAGTATTGGAATATGAAGAATCTCATTTGGAAAACTATTACAGATTTTTGGCAATGTCCCTTTATAAGGCCGATGAACGCAATCTAATGCATTGTCAAATGTTTAAGGTAAAATTGAAGTGAGTAGCTGTTTATAACACATAGCAACAACTGTTTTCTGTACAGTACCAACAGATGTGCAAGGGTGTATCATAAGTTCATCCACTGACGTAGAGTTGGCACTCGAAAAAAAAGTATCTCCCTGTCTGCTTCCCGCTCAGAGATGAATGTATTGTCTGGAAAAGGCTACTAAGGGACTATGTGGGATCCCTCGTGTTCTTTCCTTTCCAATCCATGTTGGATCATAAAAATGAGCTCAAATAAAAGAGACAAAACTTGCACTCATAGTGCAATCAGTCATGCAAGGTGACCTGGAACGTCTAACAGACATTTCAGGCTAAAATCTCACGCTGGATCCCTGGGTCACGTCAAGAAGATATACAATGGGAAAAACAGATCTCCTTTATAGCTGGAGATGCACTATTAATGCCGATCACATGTAAAGCGAAGCAGCTGTCTTGCCTTTGGTGAGGAGCACGCGCTGAACGGCATCTGGAATCATGGGCATTGCGAATTAATGAAGGTCCTGACAGCAGTCTGTGAGAGACTGTCCCAACTGACCCTCTGTCCGTGCAAGAACATGTTTATGTTTTCAGATTTCAGTTTAGACGGAGTGAGAGAAAAAGAGCATGGTAGAGAATATGTATGTGGGTCAGGTGGAGACTAAATGTCACCTTGATGATAGTAAAACCTGAAATTGCCAACATTGTGGAGACCGTCCAATGATCTTCTTGATAAAAAGGATTAAAAATGTCTCAATTAAGATCTAAAAATGCCAAACGGTTTATATGAGGCAGTTCTTTTTTTAGGAGAAAAATCTATTTTGCCACACTGCTGTTGCATTCATTGACGTGTCAAGTTGGTTATTGTTAAGTGAAACAAAAGCAAAACTATCATAGAGATATGTTAACACAATCAGCTGATTCATTGTCATAGCAGTGTTGGGGTAACGTATTAGAAGTAACTCGACATACCTAATCAGATTACTTTTTTCCAAGTAACAAGTAATGCTTTACTTTAAATTTACAATAAAATGTTACTTTTTCGTTTGTTAAGTTCCCATTTATTGACTGACAGCTATAGAGAAATTGTAAGTGCAGATGCATTGTGTGCGCTGTGTGTAAACATGATGGTTATTCAAATAAGTACATGATGTCCTCAACATGAATAAAAACTGTGAAATGCAGACGCAGAATATTACACCAGTGTTTCCCCTACAATGTATTCAGCAGCGGCGCAGCGCCGCCGCTGGATTTTCAGCGCCGCCGCAAAATCTTTTCATGATCAGCAATATCATGACGTTCACTTAATTCACTTATACACCTAAAAACACAGACAAGGCGACCGGCAGCGCTGCTAATGTGGCTCTGAATCCACTTGTTGACAAGAACGGAGGAAAGAGCCATATATGGAAATATTTTCGATTAGGCTAATGTCACGTTGCCATAAGGGGCCGTTCGTTAATTTAAATAAGCCATACGCGCTCCACTCAGAATAGAAGTGACGCGGTGACGGCGCGCTCGTTTATCCAATCGCGCCTCTGTTCAAGGTTGCATAGCAACGAGAGACTCCACGGGACAGCGAGCACTTGTGGAAAGGAGAAAGCGGTACGAACTGTTTCCATGAGCCGGACGAGGAAGTATCACCTACTGCTCATAGTCCTGATCTCTCTTCCGGCTTAATAATAGCAGTCACAGCGCGAAATAAACATGAATGAGCATCTGAAAGTGTGTTAAAGATAGAGTACAACTTATCCAAATCCGTATCATGTCACATTGATTCGCTCAATCAGCGTTTCAACCGTGGAAAGACGTCAGTTAAACAGCTTGTAATCAATGTCATGTATCGTCATATTTACCTCAGAAAACCCACATCAACTCGTTAGTCAGCTAGAAAAATAACTCTAGAGAGGAGTATTTTGCTAAATATATACACCATATTACACATGCATTATAATCTTAATGTTCTTCAATATTTAATGCATATTTGAATAAATCTGGCAAGTTTTTATGACAGTCACCATTTAAATGTTTATATAATCTTCTTATTATAAAAATAAATAAAAGTGTAATTTAAGTGTTTGTTTAGCTACAAAACAGTTCATTATTACCTTCATATTAGGCTAATGAAGCCTAGCAGGCTACTACAACTAGACTCCCATAGTTTACAGCATTAGTTAAGAGATTTGATTTCCTTGAGAAAATTAGCCATTTATTGTAACTGTCTGATATCCAAAATAATTAATATTGAATAGAAACGGAATCGAAATCGAATCGAATTGCAAGCTTATGAATCGAAATCGAATCGAATTGTGAAATTTGTGTCAATACCCAGCCCTACATTCTAACATGATGATATCTGCTCTTTTTTTAAAGTTTCTTTTATTGTTAAAAAATAACATCATGTAATAGTATTTCACAATATTAGGCTACTGTTTTTTCTGTATTTTTTAATAAAAAAATGCAGGCTAGATGAGCATAAGGCTTCTTGCAAAAACATAAAATAGTATCACTGTCACTCACACACATCTGAAAAACCCAGAAAAATTAAGTGCTCACAGATTGGGTGTGGCCTTTGCCATTAAGAAAAAATGTTCAATAAATTGTAAATAATCTTTTTCTGGGTTGTGACGTTTCATTTTTCCCCTATCAATTTCTACATTTTAGTTTGAGTTTTAAAACTTACAGGTTATTTTTTATAGTATAACGACCTCTTAACTGTCAAAATATCATTAAAGCTACATTATGTTTTTCTCCGCCGCTAGGGGTCGCTAACCTCTTACAATAACAAAGGCGTAGGTTTAGGACGCAGTGAATAAGCGTAATGATGGAACTTGTCATGCAGATGGATCTAATGTGTATGGAAAATGTATTTACATTTTTCAAACTCATGGTTGAAGGGGTTATTTAAAAAAAAAATTCTCCCGGAGGTGCAATTCCCCACACCGCCCCGCCCACAGCCCCACCCCGCCCCGCCCACCGCGACTTGGTAACAACCTCCGGCACCTAACAGCACCGCTGCTGAAAAAATTTCTAGGGGAAACACTGTACACAAATCAATTTATAATCAATTTTATCTTGCAATTTATCTGAGAAAATGAGTTATGTGCACATGATACCACTTTTCGCATGCATATGCACTTTATGCCATGTAATACCCATACCCACACCACTAATCCTACCCAAGGGGTTTACAGTGCGTATCATATGAACGTAAAATCTAATTTTCATGTATAAATTGCACGATAAACACAATGTGTGCTATAGAGATGCATTTCATGAGATCGGGTTGATTTAATCTCACTTTATTAACCAATATCTTTGCTTCTGACCTTTGATGATCCAATTGAACCAAACTAATAAGCCAAAATTTCTTTCTTCTCCTGCATCCTATTCTGCGATCCAGAATGGCAGCACAGCTGACAGGTTTGCTTGAGCTGCGCCCTCTACTTTTCAGCTGTGAATTTCTATTTCCCTTATCCTGAGGGTTATTCATTTCACCTGTGGTTTAAAAAGGTCTTAACATTTCCCAAAAATATAACTTTTGTGTTGTTAAAAACTAAAAAGCAAGTCCAGCTCTGGTGAGAAAAAGTAATGCAAACGTACTGTAACATTACTTTCCATAAAAAGTATTTACATAATTCAATATTACAACATTACTT